TGAGGTCAGGATGTGGGTGCAGACTGGCATTGCTACAGTAGCAGTGTTGCTGCTGCTGCTGTTGGTGGTGGTGGTCGTGATGGAGATGGTGGTGGTGATGGAGATGGTGGTGATGGAGATGGTGATGGAGGTGGTGGTGGTGATGGAGGTGGTGGTGGTGGTGGTGGAGATGGTAGTGGTGGTGGTGATGGAGATGGTGGTGGTGATGGAGATGGTGGTGGTGGTGGTGATGGAGGTGGTGGTGGTGATGGAGATGGTGGTGGTGATGGAGATGGTGATGGAGGTGGTGGTGGTGATGGAGGTGGTGGTGGTGATGGAGGTGGTGGTGGTGATGGAGGTGGTGGTGGTGGTGGAGATGGTGGTGGTGGTGGAGATGGTGGTGGTGATGGAGATGGTGGTGGTGGTGGTGATGGAGGTGGTGATGGTGGTGGTGGTGATGGAGATGGTGGTGATGATGGAGATGGTGGTGGTGATGGAGATGGTGGTGGTGGTGGTGGTGATGGAGATGGTGGTGGTGATAGAGATGGTGGTGGTGATGGAGGTGATGGTGGTGGTGGTGGTGATGGAGATGGTGGTGGTGATGGAGGTGATGGTGGTGGTGGTGGTGATGGAGATGGCATTGGTGATGGAGGTGATGATGGCAGTGGTGGTGGTGGTAGTGGTGATGGAGGTGGTGGTGGTGGTGGTGATGGAGGTGGTGGTGGTGGTGGTGGTGGTGGTGGTGTTGGTGGTGAGCAACCACAAACTGAGACACACTGGAAAGTATAGCTTCCGTGGCACCAAGGCCCAGCACAGCTCCACCCTATCACCTTCCCGCTGGTGACTCTTAGCATATCATCCAGCCTTGCTGTACCTCAGTTTTCCCATCTGTAAGGTGGAGATGGCTACCTTCCTCATAGGGCTGTAACCCCAAAACACTCATCAGGTGCCCAAATGTTGTTTGTGCTGATCTTGAAGTCAGCCCCCCAGGCTCACACTCTGCCTGTGAGGACCGCCCCAAGGTTCCTAGTTGGGCAGAGGTAGTGGGTAGACTCATGCAGCATGGCCAAGCACAGCCAAGCCTGGTCCTTCTTGTTACCACACACCATGAGGGCCTCAAGCAAACTCGGCCTCCCTGATGGCAGAATACACGGTCAAAGCTGAAGCCTGGCTCTGCTGCTGCCCTGTGAACCCCTCACCCTGAGCGGGGCAGGGCTGCATGGCCAGGCCCAGGTACTTTGGCCTCCCTGAGCCTTGGGGCTGGTTTTGAGCTGATGTGTGAAGCACCAGTGTGGGTGACTGAGTACACGTGTGTGACCCTCCAGAGTGACAGCCACAGGTCTGCACAGTCCTGGGTGTTCTGTCCCCACACCCTGTAAAATGGGGTGCTCTGTATTCCGCAACGGAGCTCTCCATGGCTGCCTCCAGGTAGATGTGGATTTAGGGGGCCACTCCGGCCCAGTACAGGTGTCCTGTGTATAGATATATTTGGAAAGCAGGTTTGCTGGTAGGTTGGTTGTAGATTGAGAAAGAGTCCAGTTAAGTTCTAAGACTTGGGGCCAGAGCAAGTCAAGAATAGAGGGTTTGGTAACTACCACTGAAGTGAAAATGGGGGCAGCCACAGGGCAAACCAGGTGGGAGCACCGGAGCTTGGTGGGTTGTGACAGGCCGAGTGGGCACAGGACACTGTGCCTGGGGCGCAGGGGGGCGGTCCTGGCTGCGGCCTCACAAGGACATATAAAATGTCCCTGTCAGCAAGGAATAACGGGGCCCTCAGCCTAGAGGAGCTGGCCTCTGTCCCCTCCCCTCCCTCCACGTCGCTCGGCCTCAGCCACTGTCTGTGCACACGATGTTGGGCACTGGGCCCCTGCGGGGTGCCTCTGGGTCAGTGTGGCCACTAGCACAGGCTGGCCAACCACACACCCAGTGTCCCTGTCCTCCGAGACGAACCGCTTGCCTGTGTGCACTGTAGTTACAGTCGGTGCTTAAAATCAGAACATCCTGGAAGCGCAGAAGGAAGAACCTCTTGCATTCGGCTGGGGAGGCGTGCTGGGAGCACCCATAGCAGTTCCACTCCGTGCACCCCCACGGGAAGCAGCTCAGGCGCCTGCCGGCAGGGACCTGGCGCACCCGGGGCACGGGCAGCCGTCGTCGTTATTATTTTTTTCCGTTTATTGATTTTAGAGAGAGAGATAGAAACATAGATGAGAGGGAACATCGATTGGCAGCCTCCTGCACGCCCCCCACTGGGATCGGGCCCACAACCTGGGCCTGTGCCCTGACCGGGAATAGAACCGGTGATCTCTTGGGGCAGGGTCGACGCGCCACCACTGAGCCACACCGGCCGGACCTCATTATTATTTTATAAAACGTGCTGCTACTGCCACTGCACCTGGAGAGTCTCTGTCCTTCTGCAAGGACGTTGTACAGTGTTAGGAGAGTCTTGCTGACATCATCAGGATGTGCCTTGACTTCTTGCCCCCGTCCCCACAGCTGGAGGTGCAGGTGGCTCCCATTTCTCACTGTTGTGAGGGGAACATCCTGTGTAGAAATCCTGGCCGCAAATTAATACCGTTTCCTTGGGCTAAATCCTCAGATGCATGTACAACATAAGGCTCCTGATACATTTACCAAACTCCATCCAGAGGTTTGAATCTGCACCCATCAGCCAGAGGAGACACCCCCAGACTTTTTCTAACTTTGCATTTGGCCTTTTAAAAAAACTTTTTGCCAAGTTGAGTAAAAGATTCACATTCATTTAAATTGGTGCTCCTGCGGTTATTGTGAAGGCAAGCTTTTTCATGTGTGGGGGCCCTTTATCTTTTTTGTGAATTGCTTGCCCACACAGCTGTCCGTTCTTTTATATTTGGATGTTCAACTCTTATTGATGTGTAAGATCTCTTCATAAACTGAGGGTGTTGAACATTTGTCCTGTATTCTCCAAATATCTCTTCCTACTTTTTAAAATGTGAGTTTATGTTTATTTTTCAGTGATTAGGGAATAACAAAAGTTTTTGCTTTTTACTTTTCATTTAGCCATATCCGTGGCTCTCTGTGTCTTTTTTCCCTTGATTCTGCCTCTGGAGCTATGCTTGTGTTCCTGACTCAAGAGGCCCGCTGCTTGGGCTGCTCTACTCAAGAACAGGCAGTAGTTAGCGAGTTGCCAGGTGGTCTTTACTTGGAGCAAGTGAAGGAGACCAGGTTCACTTCCAAAGCTCTGTCTCCATAAAGAAAGGCTTAGTTACCATTGCTAAGTACACTGTTTGGTGAACTACACTTTGGTATCTTCTTTGCAGTTGCAGTTGGCTACACTTATCTGGTTGGGTTCCTGTCAAGCTCATCCTGTTTACAGCTGGTTTGCAAAATACTGCACTACATTTTAACATGTAGCAAGAATAGCATTTAGTAAGAAACTGCCCAGACCTTGAGAACCTTGTCCAAATACTGGGATTCTCCTTATATAGTTGCTTTTATTGTCTTCGGATGCGTTTCTTCTTTCTGTGCCAAGCTTTGCACATGCATTTTATTTTATTTATTTTTCCCTATAACTATAAAATCTACTTTTTGATTCATAGGTTTGTGTTGCATTTCTTTCTTTCTTTTTTAAGAACCCCCCTGCTCAGAATTCTTTTTTTTAATCCTCATCGGAGGACATTTTTCGATATTTTGTTCAGATAGAATGGGAGGGAGAGAGAGAAACATTGACGTGAAAGGGACACGTCGAGTAGTTGCCACCCATACGACCCACCAGGGCCGGGGACAAACTGCAACCGAGGTACATGCTCTTAGCGGGAACCAAACCCGGTCTTTCCGGACTGCAGGCCAACACTCTAACCGCTGAGCCAAACTGGCCAAGGCTTTTTTTATTTATTATTATTATTTTTTTTAACATCGATTTATCGCCCTGGCTGGTTTGCCTCAGTGGTTAGAGTGTTGATCTGCGGTCCAGAGAGATCCGGGTTCGGTTCCCTCTAAGGGCATGTACCTCGGTTGCAGTTTGTCCCCGGCCCTGGTTGGTCGTGCGGGTGGCAACCACTCAATGTGTCCCTTTCATGTCGATGTCTGTCTGTCTCTCTCTCTCTCTGCCTCCCACTCTATCTGAACAGAAAATGAAAAAAATGCCCTTGGGTGAGGATTAAAAAAAAACATCAATTTATCTCATTTAGTCTGACTGATGTGGCTCAGTGGTTGAGCATCGACCCATGCACCAAGAGGTCACCTGTTCGATTCCTGGTCAGGGCACATGCCCAGGTTGTGGGCCCCATCCCCAGTGGGGGGCGTGCAGGAGGCAGCCATTCGATGTTCTTTCTTATTGATGTTTCTATCTCTCTAAAAATCAATAAAGAAAAAATATTTTTTAAAAAAATTATGCCCTGGCCAGTTTTGCTCAGTGGTTAGAGCATCGGCCCGGGGACCAGAGAGTCCCAGGTTTGGTTCCTGCTAAGGGCATGTACCTCGGTTGCAGTTTGTCCCCAGCCCCTGTTTGGGTTGTGTGGGTGGCAGCCACTCGATGTGTCTCTCTCCCTCCCGCTCTTTCTGAAGATAAATGCAAAAATATCCTCGGGCCCTGGACAGTTTGGCTCAGTGGTTGAGTGCTGGCCTGCAGACCAGAGAGTCCCGGGTTCGGTTCCTGCTAGGGGACATACCACAAAAAAAAAGTCCTCGGGTGAAGATAAAAAAAATTCCACCCCCCACCCCTCCCTTTTGGCCACCTTCAGCTGGTCCTCTGTATCTATGTCTCTGTTTCGATTTTTTGTTTATTAATTTGTGTTTTAGATTCCACATCTAAGTGAAATCATACGATATTTGTCCTCTATCTGACTTATATGACTTAGCATAATGCCCAATAGATCCATCCGTGTTATTGCAAGTGGTAAGATTTTGTTGTTTTTATTGCTGAGTAATATTCCATTATGTTTCTTTCTCCAACACGATGGTCTCAGAACCCTGAGAGTCTACTTAATATAGGAATCAGCTCTGCATTTGTTCCTAGGCTACTGGCTCTGTGGCTGCCTGGTCTGGGTGGCTGGGTGACCTCAGAGCATCACATGGCCATTGGGGCAGTGGTGCCCATCCCAGGCCAAGGGTCCTGCCGAGCCCCAGCCCTCCGGGGTGGGGTCCTCATGTTGTCTCACCTCTTTTTCTCCCTAGGCACGTGTGCCCAAGTACAGCCACCCCAGAGGGGTACCCTCCAGGTCCTTCGTGGTGATGGCACTTCTGTGGGAACTATCATCGTGCTCCACTGCCCCTCAGGACACCAGATGACGGGGTCCGGCCTCCTTACCTGCACCTGGAAGGGGAGCATTGCCGAGTGGTCTTCAGGGACCCCCGTGTGCAAGTGTGAGGCCTGCTCCCCTGAGCTGTCCCCAGACCAGCTGTTGCTGTAGATGGGAGGGAGCCTGATGCTGTCATGTGGACAGCGTGGTGTCCACAGAGAAGGTGCAGTGGGTGCCAAGTCCTGGCTGGGCCTCTGTATAGGGCCCTGCCCCCAGTGCTGGTGGCCTCTGGTGGCTTCATGTCCACAGTGTGGATTCAAGTTCTAGCAGCTGCTCCAATGGCCTGTCACTTCCAAGACGTTACTCGCGCTGAGCTAGCACTTACCTGTTTTACGTGTGTTCAATCTCTAAGGGTGCACACGGTGACCCTTACTAGGTTATTCCATATGCCAAGAATTCTAGAACTAGGGACACCAAGGGCCAGGATGCATCTGATCCTGGAGCCCCAGACTGGGGGAGGAGATGGTTTTCTGTTTGTATTTGTATAGGGTGTTGAAGGATAATACCCAGCACAGCAGTTTTCAAAGGGAGGCCATATATGTTGTGTGATAAAAAGGGCTCAGTAGTCAAAACAGTTCGGAAAAGTCCATGTTAATAAGCTGCAGGACTTCTCAGAGTCTTTAAAATACTCATGTGCTTGGTAAACCTCTGAGAAGGAGGGTATCTATTAGGGTTAGAGTCCTGGAGATAGAAAACCCAAGATAATAGGAGTTAACCAAAATAACAAGGCCTATGGGAGATTTCTCTTGCCCATAGCCCTCAGACTGGGCTGTCCTAGGCTGCATGGTATCCCACAGTGGTCACCCAGGCCCTTTACATGTTGTGGCTCTGTGGGGTTTGACCTCAACTGTGTGATCCAGGATGGCGGCAACTGTCTTCTGGGCACTTGCTATGGGTTAGAGGAAGGGCAAAGAAGGCCCTTAGAAGTTGTTCTGTACCCGTTTCCCTCATTCCCCACTGGCCAGAGCATGGTCACATGATCACATGCAACCACAAAGGAGGCTGGAGATGTCCTCTTCAGTCTGAATGGCCAGTGTCCAGCGAGGGTGGGGGCCGGGGATGTGAGCCGTAACCGCTGCAGGGCAGAGCAGGTGGTTGCATGAGTTAGGGTCTCAGGCCTTGTTTTCCCGGAACACCCTTAGTTCAGAGCCTGATAGAACAGTTCTTGGCCCGTAGCCGAGGTCACATGGCTGATATGTGCCAAAGGTCCTTGGACCCCAAACATGGGCATTTCCTTTGTTTCTTGCCTTCATTAAAGTGACCAGAGAAGGCCCAGAGGCCCCTAAGGGTTTTGCCAGTTTGGGGCGTTTTGAAAACAGACTGAGAGCTCTCTGCTGCCACCTGGCCTCGGGCCCAGGCTGCAGTGGGTGAGAGCTGGGCTCCTCACTGAACGGTCAGAGCTTCTCCCAGGGTGCCCCCATGAACTCGTACACACTCCAAGTCCTGCTGGAACACCCCTTCTCCAGAGGCGGGCTTCCTGATAGTCTCCCTGCTGCAACAGTCTGCACAGACCTTCGCCTTAGCAGCCCGCGCCTCCCTGCCGCCCGGGGAATGGGCTCTGAGGGCGGGCTGGTCTGGCCTCTCTCACAGCTCTCACGCCCCATGAGACCTTCGGCTTCAGGGTGGCGGTGATCGCCTCCATCGTCAGCTCGGCCGTCATCCTGCTCATGTCCATGGCCTTCCTCACCTGCTGCCTCCGGAAGTGCCTGAAGACCGAGCAGCAGCGCTCTGACAGGTACGTTGGCCCCAGCATCCTTGCGGGAGTTGGGCCCACGGCCTTGAGCCCTGGCCACTCCCTGGAGCCAGGAGCTGGCCCGGCACTGCCCAAGGAGTGCCAGCACCCAAGGCCCTTTCGGGCCTCCTAACGGCATCCAGAGGCATGAGGAGCGGGGTCACCTTACCAAGAGCTGCCCTCACAGCCCATGATGGCTGCAGGCAAGGTCAGTCAGGGTCTCCCCGCTACGGCTGGTGCTTGGCACTCTGGTCATGGAGCGTCACGGCCCTGGAGGGCGTGTGGGCTGCGGGTGCAAGGGGATCTCACCCTGCACTGCGGTGCGTGCCCTGCCGTGGCAGGTGTGCAGGCAGACGGTCACGGCCACCTGCAGCTCAGGCGGAGTCGGGCTCGCCACCGCTCCCGCCTCACTAGGATTTGTCCTTTTTGGGGGCTCAGTGGAACCTCGGTTCTCAAACTTAGTTGGTTCTGGAAGGCTGTTCTAGGAGTGATTTGTTCAAAAACCAAATCGTTTTTTTCCATTAAAAAAGAATGTAAGTTGGATGAATCTGTTCCCGACCCCCAGATGATTCTGTTGTAACCTCTCTCAGTTGCCTGTGATCCTTGTTCCGTGAGCGCTCCCACACCCTGAGCAGCATCAGCGTGCTTGATGGCCTCTGTTTTACGTCGTGCCGATCCTCGCCCTGGCCAGCGTCGCTCAGCGGCTAGAGCGTTGGCCCGCAGACTCAAGAGTCCTGGGTTCAATTACAGTCAGGGGTCCCCGGCCCAGTTCGGGGTCATGCGGGAGGCAGCCAGTCGATGTGTCCCTCTCAAATCCATGTTTGTCTCCCTCCCTGCCCCCACTCTATCTGAAGATAAATGGAAAAATATCCTTGGGTGAGGATTTAAAAGGTAAATAAATAAATAAAATAAAAAGTAAATAAATAAGATTGTGCTGAAGGTCAGTTTCCGCCGTGGCATCCTTGGCCACCAGATTAGACACGCCAACACCTCCAGCATACTTTGCAGTGGTTTCTTTTCAAAAGAAAAAAAATTTCTATCCTCACCCAAGGACATTTTTGCATTTATTTTGAGATATAGCAGGAGGGAGAGAGGGAGAGAAACATTGATGTGAGAGGGACACATCGACTGGTGACCACCCGCACGACCCCCAACTGGGGCCGGCAATGAACTGCAACCGAGGCACGTGCCCTTAGCTGAAGGGGAACCGCACCCGGGACTCTCCAGTTCGCGGGCCAGTGCTCTGACTGCTGAGCCAGACTGGCCAGGGCTGCAACGGTTTCTTTTTAAAGCTCTATCATTGTTCTTACAACTTTCCTATTCACTTGCTGCTATCCCTCACCTGCTTAAGACCCGTGGTGATTTATTGGATAGTATTATTTAATAATAATAAGCAGCAACCAAAGCAAACACCCGTGTGAAGACTCAGTGCAGTTTCCCACGATGTTCGCAGTCGTGGCTTAGCGGTGAGCCGACCCCTGCTCACTCCCGCTCCTTTGCCGCCTGAGAGGCCGACGGACCACACCCGCGTCGGCAGCAAAGGGCTGTCGGGCTGAGAGCCGACGTTTTGTTTGATAACTGACACGTTTTCTGTGAACAACTTGTTCGAGAACCGAATTGTTTGAGATGGGAGGCCTTCGAGAACCAAGATTTGACTGTATTTTTAAAAATGGTGGTAAAATGTTTATAACATCAAAGTGACTGTTCTAACCATCTTTAGGAGTAGAGTTCAGGGTGTTAGTTCCGTTCACAATACTGTGCGCCATGGACGCGATTCACCTCTCAAACCCTCCACTGCCTGCCTTTGCAAGGAGTGTTCTGGCATTTTCTGGCCACCTGGGACTGCTTCCACCCTCCAGCACAGAGCTGAGGGGCAACCCCGGGGGCCTGGGGCTGTGCAGGGGCTGTGCAGGGGCGCGGGCGGCAGCCTGCACACCAGGCACCTCAGCGCCTCCGCATCCCTTCTCCCTCAGGACCGCCCAGCTGTGGCCCCAGCTGAGGGCTGAAGACTTGGAGACGGTGCAGTCCACCTACCCGGGCCTCAGGGGCTTGAACAACAGCAGTGGTGGCGTGGAGTCCAGGAGCCGGCCCGGCGGGGCGCATGACAACCACAGCTTCGCCATGTGGGCATGGGCCTGGGGGCGGTGGGGCAGGGGATGAGGGCGGGGACCCTGGCTTGGTCAGGACAGGGCTGGAGAACCGGGCCCCTGGGTACTGGCTGCCCCCACCCATGGCGAAGCCTCACCTGGGCTTCAAATCCTGGCCCGAAGGCAGGCTGCTGGTCCCGCTAGCACCCGCCCTGACCGCGCACCCTCGCGCCCACAGCCGCTTGCCCTGTGTCTTTACTTTGAGAATTGAAACTCCCAGCGAAGGTGAAGCTTCTGGACATGAGTGTTCCCTTCATGCGGTCCCAGCCGGGCTTCACGGCGTGGCAATGGACATGCGCGGTGCTCCCCCTTCCTTTGTCTCCCTCGGGCTCCCTTTCCACACACACTCACACACTCACACACACTCACTCACACTCACTCACACTCACTCACGCGCGCGCTCACTCACACACACTCACACACTCACTCACACACACTCTCACTCACACACACACTCACGCACACACTCACACTCACACACACACTCACACACACTCACACTCACTCACTCACACACACACTCACTCACACACTCACACACACTCACACTCACTCACACTCACACACACACTCACACACACTCACACACGCGCGCGTGCTCACACTCACACACTCACTCACTCACACACACACTCACACACTCACACACACACTCACTCACTCACACTCACACACTCACACACACTCACTCACACACTCACACTCACACACACACACACACATACACACAGGATATTTTCTCAAGCATCCTTTTCTGACTCGGGGGTCTGATCTGGCTGAATGTGGACTGTGAAGTGTCTCCCACTGTGGTCGTGAGCTTTGAGTGGCACCCTGTCACCCTGGATCCCACGTGGCAGTGGCAGCCAGGTCTCCAGGCTCCTTAAATGGCGGCAGGCTTTTTGTCTTGGTGGCCAGTGGTCCCCTACAGAGACCATGTTCTGGACCGCGTGGCACTTACCGGGCTGCATTTCCGACACAGGTGCTGTGGGTGGTGCTGGTGGGTCAGACTGGCCCCCACGGGCATGCAGACTGGGGTCTTTGGGCCAAGGCGGTCGATGTCAGCGGATGGAAAAGGAACTCTGCAAGAGGTCACTCTGCTTCCCCACGACCTCTGACTCAGACCTCGGCGCCTGGGGAATCCTGCTGCAGTTGGTTTCCCCCTGGGGCTTACCAAACAGTGACTTCAATTCTGTTGTTATCCTGTCTTTTTTTTTTTCTATGAGGAATGAGGATGAGTTCTGTTTTTCTTCCCTTTTATTTATTTTGTTGTTGCTTTTGTTTTATTTTATATTTATTTATTTTGTATTTATTTTTCTTTATTGATTTTAGAGAGAGAGGAAGGGAGAGGGAGAGAGAGAGAGAAACGTTGATGAGAGAGAACATCGATGGGCTGCCTCCTGCATGCCCCCCACTGGGGATCAGGCCCACAACCTGGGCATGTGCCCTGACCAGGAGTCGAACTGGTGACCTTGTGGTGCAGGGTTGGTAGTCAACCCCAGAGCCACACCGGCCGGGTTTGTCACTGTGAACTCAAGGGTATTCTTCTCCACAGCTTTATTTTTGGGAAACTTCATGAGTGCTCAGAGCAGAGACTTGTGGATCGGCCCTCCTGCCCCACCTGCCACCCTCGGCAGTCGAGGTCCCGTGTCATCTGACGCCATTGCCTGTGGGCTCCACCCTTTCCTGGCAGAAGCCCTGCCACAGTGGCTGCGCCCTGCTCATGCCTCTCTTGCTCCTTCCCCAAGACCACCCAGCCCATCAGTGCTTTCTCTGCCCAGCCCAGGGTGGCTGCCCCTCCATGCGCTGGGTGGAGGGCAGCGCTCAGAAACCAGGTCTGCCTGACAGGCAGGTGGCGCGTCCCTGCAGAAGCCGTCCAGGGAACCAGGAGCTCGCTCCATGTGGGAGACCACCCCTGCCTCGGTCCTCACACTGAGGCTCTGGGCAGAGCTTCCGGGCCTGTCGGGGTGACAGCAGTCTGGTGAGGGCTGGTTAGCTGGCGCAGCGCTGTGTTACTTCTGCTCTCCTCCCTGAGGCGCAAATGAGGAAACATGCAGGAGGGCTCGGCGCTGGCCTGCGGGTCCCAGGTGTGCACGCGGCGCCCTGGACATGCCCTGCAGGAGGGATCGGTCCCCATCGCCCGCCCTGGAGCCTCGGCACTAGGCCTGCCTCTTGGTGGCCAGGCGAATGCCGGAGCATCCGGAGCAAAGCTCTGCGGCCCTTTGCCCGTGACGTGACAGGTCGCGCACTGTCTGGGCTGCACAGCTTTGCTCTGGACACCCCAGTGTCATGAGACCCTCCCTGGCTGCTCAAGTGGGGGTAATGCCGGTGCTGAGAACTGGTTTTCTTTTTTGAGATGACGTTTTGGGGGGATCCTAGGAACAGACTCTTTAGACCAAGTAGTCTCAATATGCTTATTACCAGACTCTCCTTCAGGGGCCCCGTACAGAGGGAGCATTTCCCTTCTGCTCGCCACTGAGTGTTCGTGCTGTTTCCGCGGGGACACAGCCAGCACCACTTACGCGGTGCTTCATCAGCGTCTCGTCGCCTTCCTTTGGTCACCAGTGAAGGGGGGCATTTTCTCCAGCCCTTCACGTGTCAGCTGTGTTCCTGGTTCCAGTCCTTCTCTGTTCGCCCGCCGGATGGCTGGCCGAGGCCCCGTGCGCTGGGAGCTCTGTGCCCGGTGTGAGCAGGGAGCTGTCCAGGAGATGGCGCCAGCACTGTCTGCATGCCCATAATGTGGGGGTGGTCCTGCTGTGCCCTTCCTTTCACACGTCAGACGGCCTTTCAGCCCCAACCCTGTGTCCCCCCAGGCTAGGCCCATGCGGGTGTCCTGTGTCTCCGTGGGGGAGAACACCAGGGGAAGGGGCAGGAGGCGCTGCCCCTCCCGGTAGCAAGGTGTCCTGGAGGCCGCGAGCTGCACGGCCCGGCTGGCTGCAGGGAGCTTTGGTCTGGCAGGGGCGGTGCTGCGGGGGACCTGTGCCTGCCCCTCAGACGCCTGCTCTTAGATCAGAGGGCCTTGTTCTCCCTCCCTCTCATGGCCGCACAGAGCCGTGCAGGGATAGTCCCTGCTCTAGCTGTAGGGTGAGCACTGTTCTTACTCCTGCTCTTATTCCATTTCAAGAAACTTGTCCAGAATCCCACGCAGCCCAGCATGCAGCTATGTTTGAACTCAGGCTGTCTGGCTCCAGGGTCCACAGATTTGCCCACTAAGCTGTCTTTCCTCGTCGCCAATCCATTATTTGAGTCATTCACGTATCCATCAAACCAACAGATAACTTCTTAATTCCTTGCTGCTTCCGACAGCTTTTCTGAGAATTAGCTGTGAGTGAGAACAGAGAGCCAGGAAGGCTTTCTGGAGGAGGTGATGCCTGAAGTGAACAGATTGGGAGAGCCTGGACACGGGGGAAGGAGAGAGAGCACCTTAACGGGAGGGAGCAGCCCTGCAGAGGGCTGGAGGTGGAGTAGCCTGGTAGCTTTCAGGCAGCAGAGGCCCGTGTAAGGGGGAGACAGGATGGGCCAGGATGAGCCAGGTGACGGTCAGGCCAAGGTCTCATCAGCCTGGAGAATGGGTTGATTTATGGATTGGGGGTTAGGGGGCCACAAGGGAACTGAAGATGTAGAAGGTAGGTCATCCGGCCCCTAGACCACCTGGCAGAAGCTTAGATGTCTCCCTGGACAGTCCTGGAGAGTCCTGGCCCGGGGAGGCAGGACACTGCCTCTGGTTTTTGCACACTCTGAATAAGTCCCTTCCTTGACTCAGCTTTGGGAACCCCCAACCCTTGGAATAGCTCAATGGAGGTGAGGTCCCCAAGACAAGGGCCTCTCTTTGGATCACTCCTCTCATACAGCCGAGGGGCCCAAGGCTCAAGGCAGGGCACTGATGGAGGGGCCTCCTCAGGCTCAGGGCAGCTCCTGTGGGAGAAATGGGGTGCCCAGGCCTGCTGAAGGCCATGGCTCAGGGGCCTAGGGGTCTGGCAGGGGGGCAGGGTTGGGGTGAAATGGGGTCCTGGCTCTTTCCACAGCTCACACCTCCTCTCTCTGCAGAGACCATTGTCAAGGCACCAGAGAGCTGGCTGGTGTGGCCTGCAGCGTGGACAAGGACCCCTGGACCCCCAGCAGTGCTGCCTGCTCTCCCTGGGCCCCGGTGACGGTGCACAGTGAACCCGGGGCTGACCCTGCCCGCCCCCAGGCCCACCACTGGAATGCCCAGACGGCCCATGGCCCATGGCCCAGGATGACCACAGCCCAGGCCAGAGCTGCCCCCCACACGGAGAGGGCCAGGCCACCCCATCTGCCGGCCACCTATGTCTCAGCTTGTGTCCAGCTCGAGATTGGCCACTGAAGTAAGCTTCTGGGTTTAGGGATTCCTCTGGGCACATTCCTGATCTTAAGGCTGGGAGTGTCCCGTCCCAGGAGCTCAGCTGTAGCAGCTTTTAGAGGCGGGTTTTCTTGAAGCCACCACCGACATTCATAGACCCAGCTGCAGCCAGCTACCTTTAAAGAGACCGGGACATTTTAAGCACCTGTTTTGCATAGTGAAAAAGGAAGAGGACAGCCACACTCTGAGCAATCACAGCAGTGACTCCCCCTCCAGGGGCGGCTGCCGTGAGCAGCACCGGCTGTGTCCGTCCAGTCTCTGTAAATTGCTGTGAGGCGTGTGAAATAAAGAATCGGATCCCGAGAACTGCAAAGGAGAAGCCGCTGGCGCGGTGTTCCGCCCCTGCACGAGCATGCCGCACCTGGGTGGTCTGCTGGGCAGCCAGGGCTCAGCGGGCGCCTTCGAGGGGGCCTCACCAGGAGCCCCTCCGTGGGGGCTGCAGGCAGCTGCTGGCTAGCCTGGGTCCCACGGAGGCTGGCTGACAGGGGAGGCTGCTGCCGGCTGTCAGCAGAGACTTCATGGGGCAGTGGCACCTTGAGTGGCCTGGGCCTCCTCACACAGTCGTTGGTTTCCATGGTGAGAGGACCACATATGAGCCTTGCCTTTCAAGGCCCAGGAAGTCATGCTGGGTCACTGCTGGTCACCGCGGGAGACAGACACCACTTTTGGGTGGAGGGAGTACTAGGCATGGGCTCCACCAGGCCTTCTAGAGCTATCACCTGTCACTGCCAAAGCAGCTAGACAAGACGTCACCTCTCTTGCCCCAGGCCCTGCTTCCCAGGGGATGGTTGGTGGAGCCCTGAGGTGTGGCACTAGACATGTGCTCCATCTAAATGACCTCGGGCCCAACGCACACCCTCCTCTTCTGAATGGGCCGCTCCATCCCTCCCCAGCAGAGCCCACATCTGTCCCGGGCCAGCTACAACCTGACCCCCGCCTTCTGCTGCTTGGAGTGTGGCCTGTCTGGCCATTGCAGAAACGCGCCGGGCTTGTCCCCTGACCTGCCCTGTTTCCTGCCTGGATTGCGTGGGCTGGAGCTGCCTCAGAGGGGCCCCTTGAGGCCACTGTCTGGGGGCCTGCAGCCATTCGGGGGCCGTCAGTCCCAAAGGAGCCCGCACTGCCCCCAGAAGCCACATTTGTCATTTTCCATCCCTTGGGGCTACACAGAGCAGTCTGTCTGTCCTGTGATCCATTCTGATGCCCTCAGGGAGGGTCGCTGGGTGTCTCCATGTTTTTGACTGTTACATGGTGCTGACATCCTTTCTGTTGCTGGGGGTGGTGTTCTGTTGGGTGGGTTCCAGAGTGGGGTCCTGAGGCCAGAGAGGGGGTATGGTGCTCGGTAAGGCATGCGATGGTTTTCACCCGGGCTCCTGGGGAGACGGACCCAGCAGGCACCCCAAGTTGGCAAGCTCAGGCCCACCTCACCCAGAGCAGTGCAGAGTCCATGTCCCGGGTCCCCGGCAGGCGCCGCTCTCCGGGCTGGTCTGAATGGCAAGCACGGCCCTCAGCCATGTGCCTGGGAGGTCCTCCGGCCAGGCAGAGGTGGACAGCCGCCTGCTTTCTGGGTCCCGCGGAGGTGACATGGATGGGTGTCATCGCTGCATAAACTGAGGGGCTCCTTGCGGGACTTGGCGACTCTGCCAGGGTCAACGCTGACGAGAAAAGGCTCCGTGTTGGCTCGTCATCAGTCCTCAGAGTGAGCAGACAGGCTCTCTCCACGCCCCAGCCTCGTGGGAGGACATGGGGGGCATCTGGAGGGCAAGAGGCCTGCCAAGAGGGTTTGGGGATGCCTTCGAGGGGAGGCTGGTGTTTTGTTCCCAGGTGCCTGACGCTGAGCTTCTGGATCCCAGTACAGGAGGATTAGGGTGAAGTGGCGGCCACACCAAGCAGATGTGTCTCAGTGGTTAAGTGTGGACCCTGCACCAAGAGGTCGTAGGTTCGATTCCTGGTCAGGACACATGCCCAGGTTGTGGGCCCAATCCCCAGTGGGGGGCATGCAGGAGGCAGCCAATCACTGTTCTTTCTCATCCATGTTTCTATCTCTATCTCTAAAAAATCAATAGAGAGATAGAAAGAAAGAAAAAAGAGGGTGGCCCATTCCACTCCAGCTCCTAGGAGCTGAGAGTTGCAGACACAGGTGACCTGATGGCCACAGGGGGGCTGCAGGGGCAGAGGTGCAGGAGGGAGGGAGAGGGTGTGGTGCTGGAAGGGTCCAACCCAGTGTGGAGCCATTGCCCAGGAGAGCGGGGGATGGGGGGAGGCCTCAGCAGTGCAGCATGCTGGGCCCTGACTGTGCTGTGGTCTGGGGGTCTCCGCTGGGCTGGGCGATGCCTCCACCCTGGGGCAGGGAGAGGGCTGTGTCTTCCCACAGGCATTTCAGAGAGCAGTGGCTTCACCCAGCCATAGAGGAGGAGGGGGAAGGGAACTGGGCCCAAATTTCCCAAAAACAAATTCCAGCTTGCACTGGCAAGGGAGTGAACCCCCTTTTCTTGCTGTTGAAACCCCTACCTTAGCCAGATGCTGTTCCCCCTGCTGTCCCTCCTGCTGTCCCCCCTGCTGTTCCCCCTGCTGTTCCCTCCTGCTGTCCCCCCTGCTGTCCCTCCTGCTGTCCCCCCTGCTGTCCCTCCTGCTGTCCCCCCTGCTGTTCCCCCTGCTGTTCCCCCTGCTGTCCCTCCTGCTGTCCCCCCTGCTGTTCCCCCTGCTGTCCCCCCTGCTGTCCCTCCTGCTGTCCCCCCTGCTGTTCCCCCTGCTGTCCCCCTGCTGTTCCCCTGCTGTCCCCCCTGCTGTCCCCCCTGCTGTCCCCCCTGCTGTTCCCCCTGCTGTCCCCCCTGCTGTCCCTCCTGCTGTCCCCCCTGCTGTTCCCCTGCTGTTCCCTCCTGCTGTTCCCACTGCTGTTCCCCCTGCTGTTCCCCCTGCTGTTCCCTCCTGCTGTCCCCCCTGCTGTCCCCCCTGCTGTCCCTCCTGCTGTCCCCCCTGCTGTTCCCCTGCTGTCCCTCCTGCTGTCCCCCCTGCTGTTCCCCCTGCTGTTCCCTCCTGCTGTCCCCACTGCTGTCCCTCCTGCTGTCCCCCTGCTGTTCCCTCCTGCTGTCCCCCCTGCTGTCCCTCCTGCTGTTCCCCTGCTGTCCCTCCTGCTGTCCCCCCTGCTGTCCCTCCTGCTGTTCCACTGCTGTCCCTCCTGCTGTCCCCCCTGCTGTCTCTCATGCTGTCCCTCCTGCTGTCCCTCCTGCTGTCCCTCCTGCTGTCCCTCCTGCTGTTCCCCTGCTGTCCCTCCTGCTGTTCCCCTGCTGTCCCTCCTGCTGTCCCTCCTGCTGTTCCACTGCTGTCCCTCCTGCTGTCCCCCCTGCTGCCCCTCCTGCTGTCCCCCCCTGCTGTCCTCCCTGCTGTCCCTCCTGCTGTCCCCCCTGCTGTTCCCCTGCTGTCCCTCCTGCTGTCCCCCCTGCTGTCCCTCCTGCTGTCCCCCCTGCTGTTCCCCTGCTGTCCCTCCTGCTGTCCCCCCTGCTGTCCCCCCTGCTGTCCCCCCTGCTGTCCCTCCTGCTGTCCCCCCTGCTGTCCCCCCTGCTGTCGCCCCTGCTGTTCCCTCCTGCTGTTCCCCCTGCTGTTCCCTCCTGCTGTTCCCCCTGCTGTCCCCCCTGCTGTCCCCCCTGCTGTCCCTCCTGCTGTCCCCCCTGCTGTCCCCCCTGCTGTCCCTCCTGCTGTCCCCCCTGCTGTCCCCCCTGCTGTCCCTCCTGCTGTTCCCCCTGCTGTTCCTCCTGCTGTCCCCCCTGCTGTTCCCCCTGCTGTCCCCCCTGCTGTCCCCCCTGCTGTGCCCCCTGCTGTTCCCCCATCTGTTCCCACTGCTGCCCCTCCTGCTGTCCCTCCTGCTGTTCCCCCTGCTATTCCCCCTGCTGTCCCCCCTGCTGTTCCCCTGCTGTTCCCCCTGCTGTCCCTCCTGCTGTCCCCCCTGCTGTTCCCCCTGCTGTCCCCCCTGCTGTTCCCCCTGCTGTTCCCCCATCTGTTCCCACTGCTGCCCCTCCTGCTGTCCCTCCTGCTGTCCCTCCTGCTGTCCCCCCTGCTGTCCCTCCTGCTGTTCCCCCTGCTGTCCCCCCTCCTGTTCCCCTTGCTGTTCCCCCTGTACACTGCCCTGCAGGCCACAGGCCTCAATGCCCCACTCCCCTCCTCAGTGGGAGAAGCCTGGCCTCCAGTCACTGTGATTCAGGGTTATAAGTTTGGTGATTCAGGTCAGCGAAGTCATGCAGCCGAGACAAACACCCCTCGGTCAGCTCTGGCTGCTGGAACAAATGCCACAGCCATTTCGGTCCAGTTTTGGGGGCTGAAGGTCAACATCAGGGTGTTGGCCCATTTGGTTTTTGGTTGGGGCCCTGTATTGGCTTGCAGGTGGCCTCCTTCCTGTGTCCTCAATGGCCTTGTCTCGGTTCCTGTGCAGAGAGGAGAGGAGGAGAGGAGAGTGGGCTCTGGCGTCTCTTCTTATGAGGATACTAATCCTGTGGGATCAGGGCCCCACCCATAAGACCTCATCCCCTACTCACTGCTTTAGAGACCCGTCTCCAAATACAGCCACATGGGAGGTAGGGCTTCGGGGGCAACTCCCCTCCCCTTACCAGTCTCAAAGGCTCAAACCACCTCAGTTATTCCTTGCATGTCCAGGGGGATAGGGGCTCTGCTTAGTGGAGGCTGCTGGAGCCTCCGTTCCTGGACTAAGGGGTCTCTTTGCTTATGCGTATCAGAGCCCAAGACACCAACAGGAGTTCGCTGCAAAGAAAGCATTAGACACACATGTGTGCACAGTGTGTCTGTGTAGTTCCATACTGGAAATTAATGAAATGCTCCGCTGTTTTGAATTGCTTTATATGATCCTGGCATGTTCTTAATCCTCCCTATGCCTTTTGTTTTATTTTTTTTGTTCCTCAGCTGAGGATATTTTCCCATTTATCATTAGATAGTGTTGGGCAGGGGGAGGGGGCGACATTGATGTGAGAGAGCCACATGTACTGGTTGCCTCCTGCACAACCGTCCAGGGCCAGGGACAAACCGCAACTGAGGTACGTGCCCTTGACCGGAATCAAATCTATGCTTTTTGTTTTAAATTGATAGTATTGAAATCAGCAATGATGATAATGACCAGCATGAGATTTGTAAAGTATGAAAACAATGATTTATAATAAAGAAACCAAATGCTTAAAAAAAAAAAAAAAAAAAACACGTTTATTTTTCGGCAGTGGCCCATGCCTGGAGACAGGTGAGCTCACGCTCGAAGACCAGGCTCCCCGGCACCTTCCAGGGGACGGGTTACATAGGGGAAATCATTAGCCACAGTGACTAAGGGAGTGGGAGCCAAGCCTGAGTCGTGGTCTCCATTGCCTGGCTGGTGCTGGAGTAGCGGGTGCTGGATCCGTGCAGCTGGTCCTGAGGCAGCCAAGGTGTCTTTTGCTGCTTTTCTGAGCCTGGAGCTGAAACTCAATGAGGCCTAGATCTCATCTGTAGCTTGACTGAAACCGGGTCTCTGGGATCAACAGACCGGAGGCTTTGTTCCTAAGATAATTTTTTCTTTTTTATCCTAAGCTGAGGACATTTTTGCATTTATCTTGAGTCAGAGCGGGAGGGAAAGAGGGAGGAAGAGAGAGAGAGAGAGACAACGATGTGAGAGAGACACATCGACTGGTTGCCACTCACACAACCCGAACTGGGTCCGGGGACAACCACAACCAAGGCACATACCCCCAGTGGGAACCGAACCCGGGCCTCTCTGGTCTGTGGGCCGACACTCTAACCATTGAGTTAAATTGGCCAGGACCCTAAGATGATTTGATAATTATCAGAACCTCCTTGTCCTGAGGCTTAAAATGATTCAGGGAGTGGACAGCGGAACCGCAAGGGAGAAGGAGGCGGGTGAGTCAGCGCACTGGAGGAGGCCAGTTTGAATCAAAGGAAGGAAAGGAGAAAGGTCATATTAAAGAAATGAAGTTTCCACGTGGTTCCACCTCCAAGATCTCTGGGAGGGGAAGGGATGCCCAGGGGCTTGCACGGCAACACCAGGATCTGCTCTGGAGGGGGACACCTCACCTGTGTGCACCTTGTATTGTCTGCATTGACCTCCAGGGCCAGGAGGGTGACGCTCCCTGGTGTGGGAAGGGCGAGGGACAGCCAGAAAGAGCAACACCGTGATGACCATGTCACCTCTGAGGCCTGTGCCCGCTCTTTCACATATGGTGCTGGTGAGACCCACAGTTTTCAGTGGCCATGACGGCTCAAGTATCAGAGCCGTCATGGTGACACCAGTCACCCTGATATGGAGCGGTGTCATTCTTATCCCCAGAAGAAGCTGAGAAGAATCAGGCTGTCACAAGGGAGACCTCGTTACCACGTGGAACATCTTCAGCTGGGGGACAGTGGTTAGGAAAGACTGCATGAGTTGATTCCTCAGCAGTTGCTTATCTAAGTGCTCCCCAACCTGACTTAGCGGCCTAAAACTACAGCTGCCATGGTTACCATTATCCCTCCTGTTTCTGCCTGTTCTTCCGGTACTTCTCCCCCATGAGTGCAGCTAGCAGAGGCCGGGACTGGACGCCTCCACAGGCGTCTCCACTCACACACCTGGCAGGACACTAGCTGTCTGGGACCTCAGCTGGGGTGCTCAGCAGGAACACGTGTGACCTGAACAGCCTTCCTGCATGGTGGCTGGGATTCCAGGGTAAATGTCCTGAGAAACAGGAAGTGGGGGCTGTAGGCTTCCTAGGCCTGAGCCCAGACTAGGACCCTATTGGTTGAGCAGTCAGAGATGTGGATATGCTCAGACTTCCGAATCCGGCCCGCCAGAGATCTAAGGATGCTACCTCCCAGGCCAAACACCCTGACTCCACTTGCTCTCAGACCCCACATCCAGTCCTGTAGCAAATCCCTTTTGACTCAACCTCAGAATTACCTGGAACCCACCCGGTCTCCCTTCCACAATCACCACTCTGGTTCCAGCCTCTGTCTCCTCTCACCTGGGTCATTATAGTGGCCTCCTCCTGGTCTCTCCTTGGTATCCCTGACTCCATTCAAGCCCTCCCACCCCCCTGAGTCAATTCCCACACAGCTATCAAAGGGTTGCTTTTTTTTTTATTATTGTGGTAAAATATATATAACATAAAATTTACCATCTTAACTATTTTTTAAATAAAGTTCAGTGGCATTAAGTGCATTGACTATTGTATGATCATCCCCACCATTTCCAGGACGTGTTCAGCTACCCAGACAGAAACTCTTTCCTTTAAGCATTAACTCTCCATTCCCCCTCCCCGAGCTCCTGCAGCCAGTCTACTCTCGGTCTCTGTGAGTTTGACAACTCTAGGAACCGCCTATGAGTGGAATCACACAGTATTTGTCCTTTGCTGACTGGAGTATTTTACTGAGTATGCTGTCCTTAGGTTGATCCTTGTAGCATGAGTCAGAATTTCCTTCCTTTTTTAGGGCTGAATAATATTTCACTGCAACAATATACCACAATTTATCCATTCATTGTTAATGAACACTTGGGTTGTTCCCAGCTCTTGGCTACTGTGAACAGTGCTGCTATGAACATGGGTGGGCAAATCTTTTTGAGACCATGCTTTCAATTCCCTTGTGTAGACAGAAGGTTGTTTTAAAAACATAGATCAGTTCGGCCCGTGTAGCTTAGTGGTTGAGCATCGACCCACGCACCAAGAGGTCGCTGGTTCGATTCCCAGTCAGGGCACATGCCCAGGTTGTGGGCCTCAGTAGGGGGCATGCAGGAGGCGGCCCATTGATGTTCTCTCTCATTGATGTTTCTATCTCTCTCCCTCTAAAATCAATAAAGGAAAAAAACCAATAAAATAATAATTTAAAAAAAAACCACATAAATCAGAGCAGACCACAGTGCCCTCCCCTCAGCTCCTACCCCTCAGACTATGTGCTCCTGGCTGCCGGGCCTGCATGACCCACCTGTCACCACCTGACTGCATCCCCCTGCACTCCACTCCATCCACACTGGCTGTCCCTCAAGCACAGAAAGGTCATCCATGTCTGGGGCTCCTGTGTGCACGTTTTCTCTGGGATACTTTCCCCAACTATTATGTGGCTTGCTCCCTCCTTTCGCTAGGCCTCTGCTCACATCTAGCGCATGGGACTACTGAGGCACAGACGTGGGGTGGGGGCTCATGGACTTGGGGCCCTGAGCATCCTGTGCTGTCCAAACAGTGAAGACTGACCTGAGGTTCCCACTCCAGGTCCAGCCCCAGCATGTCCCATTAGACTCATGCTAAGGGGGAACAGCTGGCACAAGCAGAGAAGGAGCCAGGTGTAAAACCAAAGCTCTGTCCTCAGGGGCTGCTGCGAAGGCCCGGATTCACCTGTGGGCCACAGCGCTCCATCTGTGGTGGGAGCCCTGTGCATTCGCACAGCTGGGGCTGCAAGCCGCCTGGGGCGGCGCCGAGCTGCGAAGGCAGACCTGTGACTGGGCCGTGGACTCCAGCGTAGCAGGTATTGGCTCAAGGTCACCCATTTACAGACTGGAAAACTGAAGTTCAGGCCACTGAAACGACCTCCTAGTCAGAGTCACACTGACAGGTTGGTGTCCCCCTTTTGCAGAGGGGGCCCCGGAAAGGGAGTGCCCCACTCAAGTCACACGGTTGAGTTGACTTCTCCGGGGACTGGGGGGCGCCACTGTTCAGGTACTGCCCTCTTGGGCGGATCCCTTTAGGGCCCTGGACGTCTGTGCCCCCCATGACCTGACCTTCTGCATGACCTTAGGTAAGCCACCTCCTCTCTCCCAGCCTGTTTCCCCCTCCCGGGACTAGACCGCGGTGGCGCCGGCCAGGGCTACCTGTGCCCTGCAGCGTTTAGCACGGTGGACCCCTCCAGGCAGCAGGCGGGTGGGGACGGAGGCGGGGCCAATCCGGGACGAAGCCAATAGGGGGATGGGGCGGGGCCAGAAAGGCGCCCGTCGGCTCTTGCGGAGGATGACTCGGGCCTGGGGCGGGGCTCGAGTAAGGGGCGGAGCTAGGGGGCCTCTGAGAAGACCGAACACGACGCGGGCAGGATTGCGGCTCCGGGGCCAGGACGCTTCCTAGCTGGCGAGGGCGGGGTTCAGTGATAGGCGCGGTTCCGGGCAGTGACAACGACGTCGATGAGGGTGGGGCCCAGGGAGGGCCGGTTTCAAGGCTCTGTCCGCGATGTCGCCGTCGTTGGGGGCGGGGCATAGGAGGAGGGGCGGGGCTCAAAGAAGAGGGGGATTTGGAGTTTTGGTGGGGACTTGGCCCAGCGCCGCGGGGCCGTTTTTTCAGCTGGGGGCGGGGCTAAGGGCTCCCTCCTGGCGTCCCGTAGCGGACTCAGAGGGCGCAGGGCTCAGGAAGGGGCGGGGCTTGTGGCCGCTGGGGCGGGGCCTCACTAGAAGGCGGGCCCTCCGTGAGGGCGGGGTTAGGGTTGTGGCGGCGACGTCGCGACGCTGGGGCGGGGCCTTACGAGATGGGGCGGGCCGCGTCGGGCCGGTGGGCGGAGGTCACCCGGCCAGGCTGCTGCGGACTGACGGCGGACTGGCGGGCGGCGGTGGAGGGAAAGGCCGGGGCCCGCCGGGTGCAGCCGTGCTGCCACCATGACAGGTGAGCGTGGGCCTGGCTGCGGCCGTGCCTGCAGTCTCGGGTCGGGCACGCGACCCCAGTGGTCCCCGGGGCCGCTCCTCGCTGCGTGGGCCGTGACCTTGCCAGTGGCCACGCCCGTGACCGCCTCCTTGGTCCGCGGGACCTCCTTGGTCCGGGTGTGGTCAGGTCCCGGAGGGCTCTGGGGGCACAGAGGCATCCGGGGTGCGCGGTGCTGGGGTAGGGTGGCGCCTGCCCGAGCGGGAGGTGAAAGCGGACCTGGTACCAGAGGTGCTGGGGTGCCGGGGTCCTGCCCTGCATTCAGTGGGAGGTGCAGACGCTCCATTCTCGCAGCCCCCTGACCACACAGGTGCTGTCTGTGGAACCCGCGGGCTCTGAGGCCTCCTCCACTGCACCCCTAGCCCAGAGGCAGGCCCAGGGGAATTGGGAACACATACTGAGCCCCCCAAGGCTTTGTGCTCTGTGCTGGGCCCAGCAGTCCCCCCAGTGCCTCTCAGAACTGGGGCTCTCTCTCCTGACCCCAAACAAGTGGGGTCGCACTGCTCTGTGGACCACCCCCTGCTGGAGAAGCCGAATGGTCAGGGAATGTGGGGGCTTCTGGAAGCCACACCCCATCCCAGAGGAGGCCACTCCTCTGCCCCCTGGGACAGAAGCCACCTAGGGGTGCACCAGGACGTCAGGTGGGCCCCAGAAATTCCTGTCCTTTTCCCAAAAAACTCACTGGAGTCTCAGAATGAACCCTGCACACAATTTCATGGACTGGAACCTGGTGCCTTCCGGGTCACCCATGTCCCAATCTTGCCCAGAAGAGACTCCAGCTGCCACCCACCACCCCCATCATTCCTCGGGTCATTCCTCTGAACCCTTTTTATTTGTGGCTGCCACTTCTGAGCACCTAACATGCTCTTGGCCCTGCAGTGGGCACTTTCCACCCAGCAGCACCATGTAGGCACACGTGGACTATTATATCTATATGTGGATAAGGAAACAAAAGCTCAAATTGCCCAGATGCCAAGTGCCAGGCCCCTCTGATAGGCAGTGGCAGAACTGGGACTAGACCCGTGACCTTCCAGGCCCCCTGATCCCCTCTCTCCCTACCATCTCTGTATGCCGAACTTCTGGAGACTCTTCGCCACAAGCTCTTCATTGTTGGGATGGGGAACTGAGGCCCGGAGAGCACAGGCCTGGGAGCATCAAAGGGGCAGCCCTCCAAGGCTGTAGGCCTGTCATCCATGGCTCATTGCCCCTGTGCACTGATGGCCCTGCTTCATGCTGGTTCTGGGGCCTCTGTGATGGGCTGTGGAGCGAGTGTGTGGGACCCACTGTGTCTGCACAGGACAGGGACTAGCATAATATTACTGCAGCTGTTACTATTTCTGTGGGGCCAGTCCCTGCCTGTGGCGTGCTGGAGAGTGAGCAGTCTCAGCTCCTCCATGCCCAAGGCCAGGTCAGACTCTGAGACAGGAGGGAATTCTGGGAAATTCCATTCAGGAGAGGATGCTGAGGCCCAAGCATCTGAACTTGGGTGGGGCGGGGCCAGGGGAACTCCGGAGGGCCTCTGTGAGGACGACAGTGAGCTGAGCGTGAGTTAGCAGGCAGAAAGCACAGGGACAGTGCTCCTGGCCTGGGGCAGGGTTCCTGGGCTGTGTGGTGCAGTTGGGGGCTGCCCTGTGTGAAGGCTCACAGCCTGGGGGGCCAGGGGAGAGCAGGTGGGGCCAGCTCCCGCCAGGCCAGTTGTGCAGGCAGAGGTATTGAGTTGGGAGTCTGTAGTCCTGGCACTAGCTGGGCACAAGGGTGGGGAAGGTGGGGATTGGTGGAGGGAGCTGACAAAGTCCTGGTGGATTTTGTGCCAGAGCATTTTTCTTCCTTTATCCTGTAAAAACCATCCGGGACTGTATATCAGGACCTAGCACCCAAGTGGTTTCCTCTTCCTGTGCCTTTTCGTGCCTCTGAGAGGCCGCCTGGGTGTGGTTTGCGTGCACAGTTCACAGCCAGCAACCACAGGAAGCAACTGGAGCCTGGAACCTCATCCCACGGCTGTGCCACTGTACCAGGTGATTCCCAGCTGGCAGCAGCAGGAGTCCTGTAGGCCCGCAGGGCTGGAGGAGCTGCTGCAGGCTGCTGGCCTAGGAACCCAACAGCCCTCACACTTGGGTCTCAGACCTACATCCTTTCATTCCAGAACTCTTTAGTGAGTCCCTACTTCGTGCTAGCCCCGGGCACAGCTGCACAGATTGGACAGGACAGCCTCTGGCCTGCCTTTGTGGGCCTGGCCAGGAGCAGACAGGAAGCAGCTAAGTGCCCAGTTAATTAGCATGTCAGTTAGTAGAGCAGAAAGTTTGAATGTCAAGAGGTGGCCCGGCACTGTGCCTGGATCTCAACCTTGACCCATCACTCCCTGGCAGGCTGAGGTGTACTGACTGTGCCTCAGTTTCCCTGTCTGAAATGGGGGTGATGGTTGTGCTTGTGCTGATCGAAGGATGAAGATGGTCTATTCCATAGAGGCCACAGCATGCCCAGCTGTGGGGCAGACTCTGGCTGGTGTCCTGCACTCTGTAATCAGGGAGGGCTGCAGTCAGATGGGGGAGGGCCCTGCTCCTGTGGCTGTGGCAGGTCCCTTGCGTCCCACGTGTGGCTTTCTCACCCTGACAGGGCTGCCGGTGCGTCTGTCTGCTAGGCAGATTGGCAGGGGCTGGGGAATATAGAAGTTAGAAATGGTATTCTAGGGTAGAAAAGGCAGCCAGTATAAGCTGGTATTGGGAGAGAGACGAGGAAGACAAATGGTCTGTTTAGTCGGCCCCACAGAGGAAATTGAGGAGGAGGCCCTCTTGTTCCAACACAATCACCCCATTTTAAAAAATCAACTTTGTGCCCTGGCCATTTTGGCTCAGCGGTTAGAGCGTCGGCCTGTGGTCCAGAGAGATCTGGGTTTGGTTCCCGCGAAGGGTGCGAACCTCGGTTGCAGTTTGTCCCCGGCCCTGGTTGGTCGTGCGGCAGCCACTCGATGTGTCCCTTTCACGTCGATGTTTCTCTCTCTCCCTCCCACTCTATCTGAACAAAAAATGGAAAAATGTCTTCGGGTGAGGATAAAAAATAAATAAATAAAAAATCAACTTTTCCCTGGCCAGTTTTGCTCAGTGGTTGGAGCGTCAGCCTGCGGACCAGAGAGTCCTGGGTTCGGTTCCCGCTAGGGGCACATACCAAAAAATAAATAAATAAAAAATAAAAATAAAATAAAAAAATCAACTTTACTGAGGTATAAATTACTTACAAGCAAATGCACTCATTTTTTTAAAAATGTGTTTTTAATTGATTTTTTTTTTAGAGAGAGAGAGAAACATCGATGTGAGAGAGATACATTGATCGTCTGCCTCCTGCACGCCCCCTACTGGGGATCTAGCCCACAACCTGGGCACGTGCCCTGACCAGAATTGAACCGGGACCTCTCAGTCCGTGGAACGACGCCCAGTCCACTGAGCCACACCGACTGGGCTCACTCATTTTTAGTGAGTAATGAGATAAGTTTGGGCAAGTGTATACACCATGGAACTAGCAGCCCAGACCCGATCATGTGAGAACATCCATCATTCCAGAGAGCTTCTCTGTGCTCCTTCCCAGGATCCCCACCCCCCTCAGGGATCCATCTGCTTTCTGTGAGTCCCCTTTCTTCCTCAAAATTCAACACTGGCATTTCCAAATAGGATTTCTTTTTAATGACTAGATTTTATTTTAGAGCAATTTTACTTTATAGAAAATTGAGCAAATAGTGCAGAGGATCCAACCCCCACCCCCACTTCATTTTCCAGTGTTATTGACATCTTACATTAGTGTGGCACAGTTTTTGTGCTTGATAAACCAGTGTGATAGATTAGTTCTAACTATAGTGTACATTATGGTTCACTCCATGTGTTGTTCATTCAGTGAGTTTTGAAAAATGTGTAATGTCCTGTATTCACCATTACAGTGTCCTGCAGAGTCACTTCTGTGCCCTGAGCATCCTCTGCCCCTCCCTTTCCCTAAACCCTGATTTTTTCACTCGCCGTAGTTTCACCTTTTCTCTGGAACCGTACAGTATATCGCGTTTCACATGAGCATCTTTCACTTTTAGAAACACTCATTTAGGTTTCCTCCACGTCTTTTCGTGACTTCATAGGTCTTTTTTCACTGAATTCTATTTCATTGTATGGGTGAACCACACACACATACGTCGGTATTCATGAGCAATGTTTGTCTATAGCTTTCTGTAGTGTCTTTGTCTGGGTTTGGTAGCAAGGTAATGTTGGACTCAAAGAGTGAGTTATGAAGTATTCTCTCCTCTCCAGTTGTTTGGGAGAGTTTGAGAAGGGTTGGTGTTAGTTCTTTAAATGTTGGTAGAATTCACTCATGATGCCATCTGGTCCTGGTCTTTTATTTACTGGGACCATTTGGTTACTGACATAATTTCCTTACTGGCTGTATATCTATTCAGAGTTTCTATTTCTTCATAATTCAGCTTTGGTAGATTGTGTATTTTTAGGAACTGGTTCTTTTCGTCTAGGTTGTCCAATTTGTTGCCATACAAATGTTCATCATCCTCTTTATTAATAATAATCCTATATTTCATAATCCTTTTTATTTCTGTAAAGTTGGTTGTAGTGTCCCCACTTTAAATTCTGATATTAGTAATATTAGTCTTTTTTTTCTTTGTTGGTCTAGCTAAAGGTCTTTTGATTTTTTTCACAGAACCAACTTATGGTTTTGTTGATTTATTTCTATTATTTTTTCTCTATTTCATTTACCTGCACTCTAATCTTTATCTTTCCATTCTCCTGCTGCTTTGGGTTTAGTTTGCCCTTTTTCTAGTCCCCTGAGGTATAACATTAGGGTATTGGTTTAAGATATTCTGTTTTATTGTGTGCATCTGCAGCTGTGCCCTCCCCTCAGCGCTACTTTCACTGCATCCGTTAGGTTCGATTGCTTTGTTTGTATTTCCATTTGTCTCAAGGTATTTTCTAGTTTCCCTTGTGACTTCTCCTCTGATCTGCTGGTTAAATGTTCACATACCTGTGAATTTTTTAGTGTTCCGTGATTGATTTATAGCTTTATTCCATGTGATTAGAAAAGATTCTTTGTATAATTTCATTATTTTTAAACCAGTTAAGACTTGTTTTGTGGCCAAACGTTTCAAGGTCTGTCCTGGAGAATGTTCCACGTGCACTTGAGAAGAATGTATACTCTGTTATTGTTCGGTGGATACTGCTTATATGTTTGTTAGGTATCAGTTTATGGGCTGGTTCACAGCCTCTGTTTACTCGTCGATCTTCTGTCTGGTTGTTGTGTCTGTTATTGAAAGTGGTGTATTGAAGTCTCAAGCTATTATTATAAAGCTGTCTGTTTCTCCCTTCAATTCTGGCACTGTCTGCTTCATGTATTTTGGGGCTCTTATATTTATTTGGTGCATATATCTTTGTTATATCTTCTTGATGAATATTTCTTTTATATTATATACTTCTTTGTCTCATATGATAATTTTTTACTTAAGTCTCTTTTTCTCATGTTAGCATAGCCACCTGATTTCTCTTGGTTACTATTTGCATGGAGTATCTCTTTCCATTTCAGCTGAACCCTACTTGTGTCTTTAGATCGAAAGTGAGTCTTTTGAAGACAGCATATAATTGAGTCGTATATATTTTTAATCTGGAGGGAAAAACAGTGTCTTCTCTACTTCTACACAAAACCCTCAACTTCTTTTGGTGTCCTACAATTTAACTCAATTCTCACACCGTCTACCTGGAGATAGTATCAGATCCCACCGGTTATGGGCTCGGTCCCCGAAGACTGCCCTCAGTTCAGAGTCAGTCACGCGTCCAGGTTTTCACCCGGGCTTCTTACCAACTAGCTGTGAATAGGATTTCCCACAACCCTCTTCTTGGGTTCCATCATTTGTTAGATTGGCTCACAGAACTTGGGGGAAACTTACTACTGCTAATTAATTACAAAGGGTGTTTGAAAGGATACAAATGAACAGTCAAATGAAAGAGATACCTAGGGCAACGCCTGTGGGAAGGGTGTAGCGCTTCCATGCCCCTGCCTGGGGGCCACCCTCCCAGCACCTCAGAAGCTCTCCAAACCCTGTCCTTTGGGTTTTGGTAGAGGCTTTATTCCATAGTCATGATTAATAAAATCATTGGCCAATGGTGAATGATTCCACCTCCAGCCCTTCTTCCCTCCTAGAAAGTTGGGGTGGGATTGAAAGTGCCCATTCTCAATCACTTGGTTCGTTCTCCTGGGAACCAGCTCCCACCTGCTGGTTATTCAGGGGCTTTTTCAAAGTCACCTCATTCATACAGACTCAGGTGAGATTGAGAGGGGCTTGTTATGAGTAACAGAAGACTTCACGGCTCATCATTTAAGAAATTCCAGGGTTTTAGGAGCTGTGTGCTAGGAAGCGAGACCGAGACCAAAGTGTGTATGTGTCTCCGTGTCTACACACACACATATATGTATACATATACATATACATATACATATACATATACATATACATATAAATTTTATTAGTCCTCACTCAAGGACACTGTTCCATTTATCCTCAGATAGAGTGGGAGGGAGGGAGGTGGGGGGGGGAGAGAGAGAGAGAGAGAGAGAGAGAGAGAGAGAAGCATCAATGCAAGAGAGACATCGATTGGTTGCCTTCTGCATGATCCCAACCAGGGCTGGACCAAACCGCAACTGAGGTACATGCCTTTGACCGGAATTAAACCCTCAACTCTTTGGTCCGTGGGCCAATGCTCTAACCACTGAGCAAAATTGGCCAGCGAAAAATATAAATTTCTTATAAATCACAACATCACAGATCCATTTTGCCAATCTCTCGCTTTTGATTGGAGAATTCATTTACATTCAAAGTAATTACTAATAGGAATAACTTATTTCTGCCTTTTTCTAATTATTTTCTGTATGTCTTGTAACTTTTTTGTCCTTAATTTTTTTTTCTATTACTGCCTTTTGTGTTTAGTTGATTTCTTATAGTGACACATTTTGAGTATATTGTGTGGATATTTGTGGTTGCCATGAGATTACATATAACCTTCTAAAAATAATAATCTAATTTGAATTGATACCAACTTAACTCCAATTATGTACAAAAACTCTTCTCCTATACAGCTCTGCCCGCCCCCCACCCCCCAGCCCCTGTGTGCACCGGGAAACAGGACACGCTGCCACAGGTAGGTAAGTAAGGTGTGTACTATTCAGGCAGCTGGTGCCACAGGGACCCAGGATCCTCCCCTGGAGACCCCACGTCCCCCACCAGCCATCCTGTACCCCACCCTTCATTTTTAAAGGCTTGTCATTCTAAAGAATGTTCTTAATGAGAAAGAAGGCGCAACAGTGATGTTTTAATGGTGGTTCTGGAAAAAAAGACAAAGAAAAGCCCTTCCCTAGCACCCCGGGCAGGCACACTGGTCTGCTGTTGGCAGACAGGCTGAGGGGTGAGCCTGTGTGCCTGCTACTCACAGGGTCTGGGCCGCGCCATCACGGCCGCCCCGAGCCCTGTGCTTCTGCCTCGTGGCAGTGGCGCCTGTGGAAGTCGTGGGTTGGCCTTTTCCAGGCTGCCTGTGCGCTTCCCCAGGCCTGGCTGTTTCCAGAGGGCGTGTGGGGCCCGTGGACTGCAGACTCAGCCCCTCGAGTTTATTTTCACAAAAGGAAGGAAGCAGAGGCGCAGCCCCGCTCTCAGCACTCTGGACAGCTCTCACCACACCCGCCCACCCACCTTCGCGAGGGGAGGGCAGGGCTGGAGGCTCTGAGCTGTGCATGAGGCCCACACAGGCAGGGTGTCAGGTGCTCACAGCTGGTGTGCTGCCTGCGGCACGGGGCCTTGCTGTGACGGGTCCTCTGGCCGTGCTGACTTGTACTCTGCCTGTTTCAGAGCAGACCTACTGTGACCGGCTGGTTCAGGACACACCTTTCCTGATGGGCCACGGGCGCTTGAGTGAGCAGCAGGTGGACAGGATCATCCTGCAGCTGAACCGCTACTACCCCCAGATCCTCAGCAACAAGGACGCGGAGAAGGTGCGGGGGCAGCCTGACGTGTCTTTCCTGTTCCTGCCTCTTGGTGTGGAGACAGTGGGAGGAAGGAGAGCTTGGACGGGGAAACCTGTCTCTCTGAGGTGACCTTGGGCCTAGAACATCAGCTCTCTCAGTCTCAATCTCTTCACATGTCATAGTGCTTGCCGATCCCTTCCAGAAATGCTGGGAGTATCCCAGGAGACGTGTGACAGCACGCCACAGTGTGACAGACCTAGGAGTGGGGCATGGGGACGGGAGAGAGGTCCTGCCCAGGCCATACCCTGGTGTCACACAGCTCTTCACTCTCCTCTTCTGAAAGTTCGAAATGGGCAGACATTTTAGATGTAATCCGGCCTGTCCTGTTCGTGGACCCTGTGTGGGTGCACAAGGTCGACAGAGTGGGTGACCTTGCCTGCTATACCTACTTCTCTGGCTGCCCTGTGGGGCTGAGGGTGGGCGAGAGACCAGCCGGGGCTTCGGGGCTCGGCCCAGCTCCTAGCGAGGTGCCCGAGTGAACCCTGCTCCCGGAGCTGCAGCTGCACCAGGCAGTACGCAGCGCTGTCTGCGGGGTGGGGACCTCCCTGGGGACAGGCGCGGTTGATCCCCAACAGAATCGGGATGTATGGACCTGCCACCGGCTCAGACTCTTCTCGAGTTATGAAAGTAGTACAGGAAGTTAGATAGTAGGAGCTCAAATTTGTATTTTACTGTTGTAATTAAAAGTCTAACGTACATTCATTGTGAAAACAGTTTGAGAAGTTTCCCACATTTGTACAAGAAGGAAACCGCTTAGCACCCAAGCTCACATCCACAGTCCCTTTCCTCTGGGCAGAATGGTGTGTCGCCACCAGGGGGCAGCACCAGCCCAGAGCCTACAGGTTCTGCTGGTCAAGGCACGTGCCCTGTCCACTGACCACATGTCTCCATCAGACATATCAGAAGAGCCAATTCTTTTCTCCTTAACCCTTGATTTTTTTTACCCTCACCCGAGGACATTTTCTCTGCATTTATCTTCAGATAGAGTGGAAGGGAGAGAGGGAGAGAGGGAGAAAGAGAAACATCGACGTGAAAGGGACACATCGAGTGGTTGCCACCCGCACGACCCAACCAGGGCTGGGGACAAACTGCAACCAAGGTATGTGCCCTTAGCGGGAACTGAACCCGGATCTCTCCGGTCTGCGGGCTGACGCACTAACCACTGAGCCAAATCGGCCAGGGCCACCTTTGATTTATTTTTAAATACTTGAGTCACATTCCTGTAAAGTGTAAACTGCCAGAAGTTGTCACCCCATCGCCTCCTCGATGACCTCACTAGGCCTGCAGTCACGAGTCCCTGAGTGCCCACGTGGGGTAATACCCTCCGGTGGCTCGTCCACCTTCACAGGCTGTGGGAGGGTTACCGGCCGCCCTGTGCTCCAGCACGTGCTTGGGCGCCACACGGCCGGGTGCATAGTCACTGCCTGCGCCGTGGTGTCCGCAGCACCTGGGTGGAGTCACCTACCGAGACCGGGAGCCAGTGGGGTGGAGGGGCTGCCCTGGAGCCACCTGCCCCATCCCACAGCCCCTCGGCCTGACCTCCTTTGTGTCCCTTGTGCCCCCAGTTCCGGAACCCCAAAGCGTCCCTGCGTGTGCGGCTGTGCGACCTCCTGGGCCACCTGCAGCGGAGCAGCGAGCGGGACTGCCAGGAGTTCTACCGCGCTCTGTACATGCACGCCCAGCCCCTGCACCGCAGCCTGCCCAGCAGGCGGGCCTCACGTGAGTGCGCCCGCCCGCCCCGCGTCCCTGCCCAGCCCTTACCGAGCCCACCCCGCCAGGCTCACCTGTGGCCCCAGAGGTAGGGGAGTGTTTCTGGCAACACAGGTACCTGTGTCCTGCCTCTGTCTTCCTTGTACCATTGTTTACACAAAAGGTAACAGCTGCCTCTTCCATCTATGACCCAGTGCACTGTGGGAACCCTTCCCTTTCTGGCTTGGCCCAATGGCTCAGGGTTGTCCCAGCCTGAGTGAACTGTCCCCCATGGCGGACGCTGAGCTGTGTCCGTGCTTCATCCAGGTGGATCCCCAGTGTGTGTTTCTGTAGAACAGTCTCGGGTCCAGATGGCCGGTTCAGGGCATGTATCCTTCCGGAGGTGTGTGAGGGTCCCTGTGACCTGTGGGACCAGGAGGGGGACGGCGAGGCAGCTCAGTCCTGGGGCTGCTGTGCCCTGGTCCTCAGGAGGAGTGGCTGCTCCCCGCCCCCACGATTCATAGGAGAGGTCAGAGGCTCCAAGGAGTGGGGTGGCTCACCTAGGCCACTCAGCCATGACCCAGGGCTGGTGTCTCTGACCCCAAAGAGAGGTCTGTAGGACTGGCTCAGAGCTCCGGCACCGGACGTCCTGCCGTGGCAGCCGTCATGGCCCTACAGCCCTGTGGGGGTCAGACACCATCCCAGCTCACGGGTGCCCTTGAGGGCTGTCAGGCCAGTGGCTGCTTGGGGAGGCTTGGGGAGAGGGAGCACCGGCTAACACTTGGACTGCGTCAGACCTTTGACGGGCCCCCGCTGCATCTGGTGCCTCGTGGCCGCCAGAGAACAGGGCCCCCTCCCGTGATCCTCCAGGTCCCAGGAAGCGGGCAGGAGAGGACCCAAAACTGGTGCAAGGTGTCTCCCCAGCGCTGACTCTGCCAGGCGGGGCTGAGGGCTTCCTGACAGCACAGCCTGGTCCAGCTCCGCCAGGGGCGGTCCCGGGAGGGAGGGACCTCGGCAGCCCCTTCCTTTCCTGAGGGCCAGTGACCACTTCTCTCTGGCTCACCCACGACTAACCGCACCCTGTGGTTTTATTTCCAGGGAACTCAGATTGCACAGAGCTAGACTCGGGCACCGCCAGCCATGAGCTCAGTGACAGGGGTAACCGCCTCCTGCCCCTGTCCCCCCGGGGCTCCCCTCCCCCTGGGGCTCTCCACTCTGAGTGGGCTCTGTTCCTGGCTTCCCATGAACAGACCCCCCAGGGTGCTCACGGGGGGCGTCCTCACCCAGCTGACCCCTGCGTGGGGCACTGGCCTGTTCCCCATGGCTGGAGGACTCCTCCCCACCCTCGGAGGTGCACTGACCCTTGCTTCTCCCCAGGACCCATGGCCTTCCTGGCCTGTCTCGGCCTGGCTGCGGGGCTGGCCCTGCTCCTGTACTGCTGCCCTCCAGGTGGGTGCTGCCCAGCCTCTGCCCAGCTCGGGGGTGAGGGGCCCCCATGCACGCCGGCACTGCCCATCACCCCTGCAGGAATGCATGGTCCCGTGTCGCCGTGTCTCACCGAGTGGGACAGGGGCCGGGCTCAGGAGAAGCAGGCGTGTGGGGCTCGGGCCCCCAGGCCCAGTGGTGGTGGGTGCCAGTTCCTCTGCTGGGCTCTCAGTGACCCCCCCCCCCCCAGGGGTTAGAGAACCATGGCCCCTGTGGGAGGAGGGGTGCAGTAGGCTCAGGAGTTAGAAAGCCCCACCTGGGGGGACTGGAGCAGAGTGCCCCCACCATCTGTGGTCCCCTCCACTGTCAGCCCTTAAGAGTGGACCAGAGGCCCGTGGCTGAGCCCCTCAGGGCCGAGCATGGCGTTTCTGCCGTTCCTTTCTGGCCGTGTGGAGGTGGCCGAGGTCACGTGGGCAGTGCCTGGCAGGCCCATGGGCGGCGGTGACCCCTTGTCCCTTGGGGTGGGGCTGGCAGTGCCGGGAGGCTGAGAAGGCACCGTCGGTGGGTCCTGAGGCCCCTTTGTGTTCCAGACCCCAAGGTGCTGCCAAGGGCCCGGCGTGTGCTGGGCTTCTCCCCACTCATCGTGGACAGGCACGCCAGCCGCTTCCTGCTGGCCTTCCTGACCGACAGCCTGGGGGGCCTCTGAGGGGCCCGCCTCCTGCCCACCGTGCACCAAAGAGCCCCCGCCCTCCGCCGGGGCCCTCCTTTCTAACGCTTGTATTCCACTCCACACTCACGGTCTCCACGCCCCAGTCACGGAGAGGTGCGCCCCTCACCCCCACAGGTGCTCCGTGGATTAAATGGGAGCCTCTCCCTCCTCTCAGGAGTGTTTCTGGATGATTCCGACTGAGACTGTGCCGCTGGCAGAAGCTGACCCTCAGGGCTCTTGGGGTTCCTCATCCAGCCTGGGGCCCGGGTCATGCTCAGTCCACACTCCCCATCAGGCGGGCCTGGGCCTCCCCCTCCACTTGGCTGCCTGCTCTAGCCCCCCAGACATCTCCTCCTCACTGCCCTTGCCTGATACCCCCTGCTGCAGCCCCTCCGTCCCTCCATGGCCCGTTACTCCTCAGGGCTCCCACCCTCCCGCATCCCCCCGCCTCTCACTCTGCCCCCTGGCCCCCAGCCCAGGCCCCAGGAGGGGAGGGGAGGACTTACCACCGGCCCCTCGTCACCGTCACCGAGCCCTGGGCTTTGTAGGCACCCCAGGCTGCCCGGGGCCCGTGTGGCCACCCCAGCAGGGGGCGCTGTGTTCTTGCTCTCCTGGTGAGGAGCGCGCCAAGGCAGAAGGTCATTCAGCCAAGAAAGAGGAGCCCGGCCCTGGGGGTGCAAGCTCCACAACACCCCTCCCAGCCGTGACATGTCCTGAGGAGACCCGTGGCCTTTGTCCCTGCCTGGGCCCCTGCCTGGCCCCAGACCCTGTGACAGCCCTTCCTGCCCCGCCTGCACAAGAGGTGACGGCAGGTTCCTCCATAGTTCAGAGCCTGGCACAAACACACGGTCTTGTCTGGGATCCCAGGAGGAAGGGAATCCAGACCGAAAACAGTTCAAGGAACATTCTAGAAATGTTAGAGGTGAAAAACACCTTTGTGCCTTCCCAGGCCCTGAGTTCCGGCTCCTCAAGCCCTCTGTCCGCTGCCTGGGGTCGGCCACAGCGGTTCCTCCTCTTCCTGCCAGTGTCAGCACCCCCCCCCCCCCCGACCGCCCTGCAGGGGGTTCGCAGCCATCCTCCTGCGGTGGAGATGGCGCTCGTGGACGGGGCGAGCACACGTCCTGGGGGTCTGCCGCTGCTCTCGGCGTCTGCGCACCGTGGGCATCTCGCAGGCCTGGTGGGCAGCGCCCTTCCCCTCCAGGGTCCCGTCACCCCTCACAGGACCACGCCGCAGCCTAGAGGGGCTGCACCCGCCCTCCCCACATGCTCTCAGGCACACACGTGTCCGCACATGCACAGCTCTGCACACGCACAAGCTTGAAGAGCACGCTGCTGGACCTCAGCCTGCCCGGCGGGTTCCTCTTTCGATGGCCTCCGTCAGCTCTCTCCCAAGCCTGTTTCTGGGAAAACAGAAGCATGTTCGTCAAGCTGAGAATCATGAGTTTGCGTTTCCACAGAGGCTCCGGAGCACTGGGCAGGCTCGGCACCAGGGCCGGGGGACGACAGGTGCCGGGGAGCACATGGTGTGCAGCTCACGCACTCGTGTGCCCTCGGGGAGTGAGGGTGCGTGTGAGCGTTCCCTGCAGGAGCCCCGCCTGCCGGTGGTGAGGACAGTGACTGACCTCCGCACCACTCCGGGCCGCAGGCCTCGAGCGTGGGCCGCGGGCACCTGGTCTGGGAACTGCTCCTGGAGCACAACCCAGGGTCACTGCCCAGCACAGGCGCTGTCCCTGCAGCGGCTCCACTGGCGGCGCCTGCTGGAAGGGCGGCTCGTGAGGCTTCCGGTGCGACTGAGCTACCGCCTGAGCTGGGCAGGGCCGTGCAGCAGCGAGCCCTCGGGGTCTGCTCAGGCCTGGGGTGTGGGACACTGAACCGGCCTACTCCCTCCAGCCCTGGGCCATGGGCACCGCGCTGCGGGCCCCGTGCAGCCACCCAGGCCCGTGAAAACCGTCTCCCGTCGCTGCGACGGAGACTGGGTGCCAGTCCACTCCTGGGGTGAGATCGGTGGGTGGGCACAGCAGCGGCTCTCAAGGTCAGCAGACGGCTATGGCTCAGCCTGCCGCGCCCTGGCCGGTCTGCAGCCCCTGCACCCACCGTGAGCAGGCAGGATCCTGGGTGGATGTCTCATGGACAGAGCTCTGGGAGGTTCTCCGTGCTGGTCCTGCTCTCGAGAGACAGCTGGGGGAAGGCGACAGGTTCCTGAGTGAAGGTGACAATGCCGGGTGCGGGGACAGACACCAGACCTGCTGGCTCCTTGGTCGCACACGTGCAGGCTCCAGGCTGAGAAATGAATGCCCTGGAGGTAGCTGCCCAGACGGCGGACGGTCCTGGCAGCCCGGAAAGACAGGCCAGCCTTCGGGGGAGTGTCCGGCAGACAAGTGGGCCCAGCTGGCTGTCACCTGAGACTAGCGAGGCCACGATTCCAGGGCCCTGTGGCAGGGTCCCCCGAGTAAGGCATGCTCAGGGCCTACCCCAAGGCCTCGGACCCGTGGGAGAGCTGTGCTGGTCCGGGGGCTGGTCTCCGCTGGGGCTGGACCACTGCCGGTGACTGCTGACTTTCCTTCACCACGGCCCCCGAGGCCCTGCCTGGAGCCCAGGCTGTCCTTGGACCTTCCTCAGCGCTCAGCCTTTACGGCCCCTTCCCTGACATGCCCGGACTCTGCCCGGAGCAGGGCCCCGCGAGGCCTTCCTCTCGCTGGCACTGGGGAGGGAGACACGGCAGCTCAGCCTTCCTCCATGAGGCCCGCCAGCCACCCGGTCAGTCGTGCTGGTGGCCTGGAACAGACCGAGTCCATCAGGGCATGGCAGGCACCACAGGCCACAGCCTCTCCTGTTGCCCTTCCCTCAGGACCTCCTTGTCCCAGCTTCCCAGCTCCACCCTCCAGGGATGGCCACTGCTCACGACTGGTGCCTTGTGCCTTCGAACATGCTATTCCCTCGGCTGGAACACTCCTTACCCCCGTCTACTCACACTGCAGGTCATGGGTGAAGTGCCGTCTCCTCCAGGAAGCCCCTCCTGACGCTCCAGTAAGAACACTGTCCGCAGCAGGCCACATACACGCCAGTGGCCCCAGAGACTGTAATGCAGCCGCAGAATTCCTATCAGCCACGGAGGCATTGTGGCCACAGGTCACTCCCACTTGGGGTGAAGTGTGCGGCCTGCCATGGAAGCACAGTGCCTGCAGTTACGTGTGGGGGTAGCATTCAGTGACGACGAGGGACTGTGGCCGGTGTGCATGCTCACTGTGCTACGTTGTCACTAGGGTGTGCTCTTTCCACCTGCAGACCCCAGTCCGCTGTGAACAGGGTGCCGAGTTAGACCTGCAGCAGCCGCGTCGTCCCGTTACCACGTCCTGTGATCGCGTCATTTCCTCCGGGCTTGCTTGTCCTCAGGCAGTGTGGTCCATCGTGCCGCTGGGCACAGCCCACTGCTGATGCCCCGGAGAGCCTGTCGGGGGACTGACTGCAGGCGGGATGGAAAGTGATGGGTGACCAGCGGAGAGTCCGAGGGTCCTGCTCGCCCGCCAGGCGTCCACCAGGCTGCAATCTTGAGGAACAAGAACGAGTGATGGAAGCTGTTCAAGGATCTGCTCCACTGAAGCCACAAGACTGACGAAGATTCTAGAAGGCCTGGGTCAGCAAGGAGAGACTTCCCGGGGCCTGGACGGAGGACCAGACAAGGAGAGACTTCCCGGGGCCTGGACGGAGGACCAGACGAGGAGAGACTTCCCGGGGCCTGGACGGAGGACCGGACGAGGAGAGACTTCCCGGGGCCTGGACGGGAGACTGGACGAGGAGTGTGGCCTCCCAGCACCGTGACACCCACAGCCACGAGGAGGGTTGCGGTGCTGGAGGAACAGGCCAGCCTGACGGGGATGCCGCCGTGACTGCTGGCGCTGGGTGGAGTGAACTCAAGAATCGCTCTTCACCCCATAATTGAACGTGAGGGCGAGTGTACGGAGGCTGGTGTGAGGGCAGCTGAAGACGTTCTGGAGGCTCCAGAGAAGCTGGCTGGGGAGAGACTGAGCTGCCGGAGGAAACATTCGATGTGGGTGAACCCTCCCTATTCTGGGGACAGAGCCTGGAGGGACTCGCGTCCATCAGGAGCCAGGTCGGCGCAGGTTCCAAGGCCCTGGTGAGCAGAGTCACGGCCGTGCTGGGCGGCGTCCCAGGCCCACGTGGAGACGGGGTGCCGCGGCAGAGAACCCAGGGCCTGGGGCGTCCTGGAGGCCCTCCCTGCCAGGAGCCGCAGGGGCAGCCGCCCTGAGGACCCGCCCTGCCAGGTGCCTCCCGACCGCTGTGCCCGCGAAGTGGACAAGCTGTCTGGAGGAGCCGCTGTCCAGGACCTTCGTCCTGGCTGTGCCGCGCTGAAGAGGCGCCGATGCGGTTCCGGAGGGACCATCCCGTCCGTGACCACGTCCAGGACCTCGTGTGACATGGGGCGATGTCACCACGGAGTCGATGATGTCATCCAGAAGAAGACCCTGAAGGGCTGCGTCTGTGACTTCAGAGCACTTGCCAAGGCTGCGAAGGCTGCACAGTCAGCACGCGGTGGTCGGATGGTGAACGACCTGCCCTGGTGGGCTGAGGACCCCGAGGAGTCCTGCGGGGTTGTGGGGACTGACCGTGGGAGTGTTGGGACCGGCGCGGGACACAGCTGGAGAGAGGCCAGAGGAAAGGGCGCTGCGGGGGAGGGGAGAAGAAAGCCCCCCAAGGAATCCAGTGACGAGTTTAGCAGAAGCTTTTGCAGACCTCACCACGCTCCTTAGACGGTTCGAATCATAAACCCCAACACCGAAAGGTTTTCATGGACGGAGAAATGTTCACGGTTCGTTATCTGCCCGTAACCAAATCCACGATTAAAAAAGAGATGAACCGAGCAGACCACCCTCCTCCAGCAGAGGCTCAGCAGGTCCTTTGCGGGGAGCCCCGGGAGAAGACGCGCTGCCATCGGCGACGGCGGCCCCGTGGGTGCTCCTGTCCCAGACACCTTCCGTGGGACAGGATGGAGGGAAGACGGGGTACGTGACCCTGGCCCTGTGGAGCCTCGGCTAGTGTGTGTGTCCTGGTTTTTAGCAAAAAAAGTTTATAAAAAGTAAAGCAAA